TATTAAACACGGAATAATAATCAGTAATAAAAAAGCACAATTTTTTAGAAAAAATATAGAATTTTTAGGAACAGAAATAGGACAAGGAAAAATAAAATTACAACCACATATTTGTAAAAAGGTTTTAGAATTTCCAGATAAGATAGAAGAAACAAAGAAACTTCAACAATTCTTAGGATTATTAAATTATGCAAGACCTTTTATTAAAAATTTAAATAATCTAGTAGCACCATTGTATAATAAAACCTCTTTAAAAGGGCAAAAATTCTTTAATAAAGAAGATGTCAAACTAATACAAGAAATTAAACAAACAATAGGCAATTTACATGATCTAAAATTACCATTAGACACAGATTACTTGATAATAGAATGTGATGGCAGTAGTACCGGATGGGGAGCAGTTCTTTTTGCAAAACCAAACAAATATAGTAATAAAAACAATGAACAAATCTGTAGATACGCTAGTGGTAAATATAAGGAAAAAGGCAATAGAAGTAGCATAGATAATGAATTATTAGCAGTAAAATATAGTTTGGATAATTTTAGACTCTTTATAATCAACAAATCTGAAATAACTATTAGAACAGACTGTGAAGCAATAAAAAAGTTTTTTGATAAACATAATGAAAAAAGAAGTTCTACTAGAAGATGGTTAAATTTTGTAGATAGTATTATTGGTAATGGATATAAAGTAGTTTTCGAACACATTAAAGGTAAAGATAATAATTTAGCAGATTTTTTATCACGAATTTTTAACAATTCTTCTGATCTCTTAGCAGATGGCATATAACTTCCAGAAAGTCAAAATTGGCCAGTGGGAACTTACAAAGTACCCTAAAGGTACAAGTCTACATTTCCATAGCCAAGAGGAAGGTAATTTAGAAGACATCCAGCAGGATATCTTAAATAACCTCTGGAATAGCAGAAATAGCACTGATAAAGTTAGAAATCTTAATATCTTAGCATTTTATTTTAGTAATCTTCCAAAACAAAGTTTTTCATATTATGTAGTGGTAAAAGGAAAAATACCTGGAATCTATTCTAAATGGATTTCCGTTATAGAACAAATAAATCATTTTCATAATCCTTTATGGAAAGCATTTCATAGCATACATGAAGCATTAGAATTTGCTAGGCATAATATAGGAACAACATTTTATGTAGATCCTAAGGCTAGCATGGACAGCATGAGGGCTCCAGTATATCAAAATACAGATGCCCCTAGTAGCAGTAGAAATTATCAATATGCATTAAAAAAAGATAACACAAATAGAATAGAATTTTGTAAACATTGTAAGAGCATGGAGCAAGCTATTAGAAGTTTAAATTTAAAGTGTAGAAATTTTGAAGAAGAAGATCTTTCTCAAAAAGAAAAGATAAAATCTTTAACTGAACAACTGAAAGAAATATATAAGATCTCAGGCTCACAAGGAGATACTATTCTCTCACAAATTTCTGAAATTGGGGAGCTCAAAGGAAGGCTGTCTCATACAGCATCTCAAATGGCCAGTTCTTCATCCGGCCCAATAAAACAGACAATTTTTATAAAAGAAAAGCCCATTTCAGAAAGACCATTTGAATTTCTTAAGCCCAGAATATCCTTTAAACCATATCACCTACTTAATTTCCTCCCTTTACATATCCAAGAAATTATTAGCCAAAAAGCCCAAGCCCAATATTATTCAAAATTAATGGCAGTCCAACAATACTTTTATGAATTAGCAAAAGACCCAATTACAAATACAGCAGCCATTAGACTACATCCATCTTTCTTCATTAACCCAGAAAAACATTGCCCAAACAATCCAGAAGCCTGTGACCACCAGAAAATAGATAGCCATTGTATACATACACTCAGTCATTTTTTCCTCAGAGCAACTATTATCTTATCAAAATATTCATCCCCAAAGATACTAAGAGTGAATGGGGAATGAGTTATTTTAACACCACAATTTCTTATGGATGCCGGATTCCTGGAAAAAATTATTGTTACAAATCCAGAAGATACTCATTGTCTTGGAACTCATCTCGGATACTTCATCAGAAAAATGTTAGACTATGGACAGTGGGCAACTGTACATATCAAATCCGCGCCAGCAGAATGGATAGGACTTTTTGATATAGAACCAGCAATACATAGAATGATGATTACAGTTAGCAATATACCACCAGCAAGGAGAACGACAGAAGAACTAGAAAAAATCAGCAGCAGTCTAGTGGAATGTCCATTAGAATTAAAAGAACAATTGATAAATGCTAAAATGATCCAATTAGCTTACAGACATTTCATAGATCAATGGGAAAATGGGATTAGATTAGTATATGAAAATAAGATACAAAAGATATATGTCCCATATAGGTTTAAGTTAGAAAAAGATTTCACTATAAGCACCAATTATCCAGAAGTTTTTGAAAAATATTTAGAAGGATATTATATGAGCTCAGGAGCAAGGCATTTGGATATCGAAGCAGATGAAGAATATAATGATGATCATTATTGGGAAACAATGGGACCAGAAGAAATGAGCAACATCGAGAATATGATGGAAGGATAATTCTTCGGCCATCTTGTCCAAAGCTATAATAGATCGGTCATAAAAGCTTTTATTGTATAGTTTGGCCAAATTACTTTTTGTATAGGACGGCCATAGAGCTTTTAGCCTTTATTCGCTGACAGCCACATTGTATAGATAGGCAATATTGATTTGATGTTTTTACGGATTTCAGTAGGTTTTAAGTCCGTAAAAGTTAACATGTCATATCCACGGACTTTTAGTCAAAAATTTTAAGTCCGCACAGTTTACACAAGAAGTCTATAAAGGCATACGTCCCAAACCAATGTTGGGTACGATGCACTTACATCCTGTAAATTAAAGCATCCAATAAAAACTCCAATTTCATACGTTCTTTAGCAGTTTTTTACAAGTCTTTAGCTCTCTCATATTTCTAAGCATAAGACGAAAGAGAAATAAGAAAGTAGAGATTTAGGCAGCCAACCCTAGATTAGATCCAAACAACCGGAAACTCTGAAAAAGATACCTTGTTTTTAGGATCCTAAAAGACCAAAAGACGGTGTAGTACCCATTAAAGCCTTTCAGTTACAAAGCAGGCGCCAGGGGAAGATCCGGTGAGGCAAAACTCCTAATCACAAGATTCCCATTTTCACAGCATCAGAAGGAAAATTTGGATTTAAAGCAAGGAAGGTAAAATCTCAGTTATCTTTCTTAAAGTATCTAGTAGTCATCAATTTCTTAAATTCCAGTTAATCATCCTGATATTTTATATGAATTTTGAACCGCCTTTTCAATTTACATCCACTCCAGAAAACGCATACAGATTAGCATTACAAAGCCTCAGACAACCAGATACCTATTATTATTTTGACAAAATTTTAGAGGAAATTGAAACAACAGACCAGTGTTTAGCACATATACAAATAGAAGAAGCTAGATTATCTAAAGTAGCACACCACCATCCCGCATCATTTATAAAAAATTTAAGACAAGCAAAAGTAGATTTACTTTGGCATAAATACTCTGAATTAAAATCAATAGAAAGACAAAAATTAGAAGAACAAGAAAAATATAAAAATAAAAGGAATTTTTGTAATAAAGTTTGTAGAACATCTGATTAACATTTAATTAATCACGTAAAAGACTTTAATTAGAGCCGTAAAAGTCCAACATAGTCCAACATAGGTCTTTAATTGGAGCCGTAAAAGTCCAACCACTAGTGTGTTTGGTATCAGAGCATAATATAATATAATATAATATACATAATTGAAATATACATATGAATATATATTAATATACATATTATTAAAAGAAATTGAAATAAATATATTTTAAACAAAATATTAATATTTATATATAAATATATTTATTTATTTCAATTGATATAATATATATAAATTATATCAATTGAAATAAATATTATATATTTATATATAAATATAAATATTTTGTTTCAAATATATTTATATAAATATATAAATATATATATTTATATAGATTTATAAATATATTTATTTCAATTTCTTTTAATAATATGTATATTAATATATATTCATATGTATATTTCAATTTGTATATTTCAATTATGTATATTATATTATATTATATATATATAAATTATAGTAATATTAATATGTATATTTTAATTATGTGTATTAAAATGTATATTATATATATTATATCAATTGAAATAAATATTATATATTTATATATAAATATAAATATTTTGTTTCAAATATATTTATATAAATATATTTTCAATTATGTATATTAATACCGTATTATATATATTATATCAATTGAAATAAATATTATATATTTATATATAAATATTAATATTTCTTTTAAAATATATTTGTATATATTTATTATGTAAATATATTTATATATTAATATACATATTATATTTATATACATATAAAATATATATTAATATACATATTATATTTATAAATTATATTATATAAATATATTAAATATATATTATTATACATATTATCTTTATAAATTATATTTATATTATATATATTAATATACATATTATAAAACAAAATTGAAATAAAAAATATTATATAAATAAATAAATAAATATTAATATATAGAAACAGAGCCAGTATATATTAAAAAAATTTCAAAAAAATTACAAATTATAAAAATACTCAAAAATATATTTTAAAAATATCTCTAAAAACAATCCAAAAAACTATACAATAAAAATTTTTCATATATGCAGTTACAGTAAAGTTTTTAAAAAATACTTTCAAAAACAGCTAATCCAAACGGAGCCTAGAATCCGATCTATGATTCCCCCTAATGAGTAACAGCTGGGGAAAAAATTTAAAATATACATGATCCTGTAAGCTACAGCAGCATACTGTAAGACGTCTTTGGAAGCCCTCTCACTTTTCTTTACCAATTCATATATCACCAGTGACACCATAAATCCAGGTAATATGGGGCTAAGAAAAGTATCAAATATCACTGAACTGAAACAGAAGCTCCATTAAACCATTCTGCATTATTTCAGGTGAGGAACAAGAAGATTATAGTTCCAATTATATAGTACATTAAGGATCAGTCACGTCTTCCAAATTTCACAAGGCTGAGTTCAACAATAAGAAGTTTATGAAATTTATCTCAATAAATAAATGCAATTTCATCACAAACATTTCCTGCATATGATGATGCCTAGAAAAATGGATATAGATGCAACAATAGCACCCTGTCTAGATAAAGCAAATTCTGTCCATGTCAAAGGCCTTGTGACCTGGACCAATACCTTCTGAAAATTTTCATTCAGATCTGCCAGTGATCCAGTGTTATCTATTAGAATATCTGCTTTGGTCCTTTTGAGATCAAGAGACATTTGAGAGTTAATCCTGCTCTTAGCATCTTCTTCTGTGGTTCCATCTCTTGCCATGAGCCGATGGAGCTGAGTCTCGGGATCAACCCAAACAACAGCAATAGGATTTGTCCACCTGTCCATCTTGGCTTCAAACAACAAAGGGACATCAAGCACAATAATTTTGCACCCCTTCATCCATAGTTTCAACACTTCCAAGAGAATGCCTGATGAGATGTATGGTGCCAGAAATCTAATTGCATAAATTGCCAAAGTCAATCAGCTCATTCAATTCTAATGACTGATGCACATGAATCAGAAAGAGGAAATAAATCTAACAAGCTCTTTAGACTGCCACAAGCTAGAAAATCCAAACATGATTTATATATATATGTATGAAAACTTCTCAACTTCACAGCAGACCATTTACAGGAACAATAGGCAGCAGCCGAATGAACTAGCAACATATCATCCAAAATTCGCCCGCTGCAAAGCACATAAACTCTTGGTCCCTGCGAACCCTACCCATTATATCCCAAAATAGTTGGGCAGGGGGGAACTTTCCAAGAGTTCAACTCAAAGTGATTCTGTTGTCGTATTTAGATAAGATACAGGCAAAGTCCAACCATAGTCAAACAGTTTTAACTGAGCATCAAACTAACAATATTCAAAGCATCACCAAACTTGAAAAAGCTATTTGTTCATGGCTACTGACCAAACATCAGAGTTTTCACTCTACATCAATGTATCATGGCAATAATTACTTCACTAATATCTAAATGCAACTTTTTCCCTTATCTAAGCAAAGCACAAATGAAAAATCCAAAGATAGTTTTTACATTACCATCAAGGAAGCTGATGCCTAGTCAAAGCTTTAATGTAAAACTAAAGGGGGCACAGCATTTATCCACAAGCTAACTAGTCACATCCGGATGTTGGAAGCTTCCATATACATCAATCAGATACCAGTTAAGAGTATGTACCTATTAAGAATAAAGAGTACGTACCTATTAAGAATCTGGCGTTTTTGTGGATCAGAAAATACAATGCGACCTAACTTCGGGCGATCCACCTCTCCATCAGGAAGCAGGATGTCCTCCCCAAAAGCAGCCACCACCTTTTTCCAACCAGCAGTACCTTTTTTCAAAACATCCTGCAAGTTAAAAAAGCGCTACTGAAAGTTGAAACCAAGTACTGGTAGGTGCTCAAGTTTAATTTCAGTATGCAGTAAATTACATCATTAACACTGACTAATATATATCTATTAGTTAAAGAAATTAAAGAATAGCAGTTGAGGTACTAGTAGTTGTAGATTTTGGGCTGTTTCAATCGGGAAAGAAAAAGAAAAGAATTGACTAGTGATGGAAGAAACAGAGAGTAGGTTAACAAACGGGAACGATTAATAGGAATTGGAAAAGTGGGGCTTACATGGGCAATGACGTCAGCATCGACGACCGGAATACCATGGGCCTTGAAAAGATTGGAGACGCTACTCTTCCCTGATCCAATCCCTCCGGTCAGCCCCACTATCCTCATTCTCGGACCGATTGATTTCTTATTACTATGAGTAGAATCCCAGTACCAGCCTACTGATTCAACAATAATCGGGTGACTATTTTTGGCGTAACTAAATTAATCGAGTACTAAATAATTACATTAGTCCTACAAAGTGCTCCGTCATCTTCAATGATAACAACTCCCAGTTCATGAATTCTTTGTTTGGGGGGAACCATGACGTTGCAAAGCCAAAAGTAATCTGCTTCTGAGGTCCTGCTAGTAGTGGACTGGGGGTTTGTGGGAAGCGTCAGTTGTCATCTAATAAGAGTAAGGCAATTGATCCACCTAACAAGCAGCGCATCTGGTGTAGTGGTAATCAAGCAGCGATGTGTGTTGAGCCCCCTATGTGGGAGCCACAGTTGTTTATATGGAACTTTGATTGCCGGATTGCCCTCTGATTTCTAATTTAGAAATCACCTAAAATAAGCAATAACAAATTTTTTTTTTCCAGAAAATGATCCCCTCTCTCTGAATTTCAGTTGGGGACTTTTATCAAATAGCTGGTACCCAATGAAAACCGATCCCACAAATGCACCAGAGAAACGAAGAAGAAAAACCAAGAATAAGTCATAAAAAAAAAATCATGGTATAATCACAGATGAATTTGAGAACACAGTATGGATTGAAAGAGCAAGTAGAGCAACTTTACTGAGTTATTTCTGGTGATACTCCTGTGGTTGCTCAATGATCATCTCCTCTGCGGGTGGTGGTGGCGGATTCACTATTTGATGACATCTTCAGTTGCATGGATTATCAACAGAGTCTTCTAGATGGTTAATCAACCTTTGAGCTGGCTTAGCAGTTAGCAGTCTACTTCCGTCCTACCTCAGTTAAGCCAAAAGAGAAAAAGAAAAACAAGAATGCAAAAAAAAAAAAAAAATTGATAAGTGAATGCTAAATATCAATCTAGAACACTGATTTCAACTTTCAAGCAACATAAGAGGTAGCTTTTAACTTCAACGTCTAAAATATAATTAGTGTCCATTACTTGAGCCAAAAAAAAAAAGAAAAAAGGAGATATCTAGTTTCTGCAATTCCAACTAAAAGTATAGACTAAAAGTAGCCATCCTGATTTCTGCATATCTCAGGAAGCAACAATGGAGTTACCAAAAGAGGTGCATCCCAAAATTTTCAGTAACTTTGACATTTCCTCAAGCAACAAAGGAAATCCATTAATTCAAATAAAAGAATTAAAGAAAAAGTCCCCAATAAAGTTCTTGCACGTGTTTTGCCTGAAATTTAACAAATAGATCATGTGAAATTAAATTAGTGAGTGCTTCCACATTGCTGGTCATTTACGCTTTTCCCTTTCTTCTTATACTTCAATGAATCTGTACATCAAAATTAGATAGCATTTACCCCAATAATGCAATTCTGACTTTTAAAGGATGCATTTATTTAGCACAAGCAAATTTATCTTCAAAAAGTGAACATTTTAGTTTGCACCAAATTAGCCAGTTGCAGAACATTAACTTACTTGATTAAACAAAGATCACTCCAACCCTTTTTTTCAACCAACCTTCCCAACTTCTGCAGCTCTGCCGGGGATCGTATGGAGAACCGGAGAAGACAGCAGGAATTGATTCAGAATATATAGGGAGTTAGGTTTGGACTCTTTGGACAAAGCGTAGGAGAGGAGACTGGAAATTGGTGTATAGAGCTTGTACTCTCTAGTAGGAACTTACTTCGGGATTTCAGATGAGCCGTCGGTAATGGCGACAAAGATCGGCGGCGGCAAGAAGGTGGAAACAAAGCGACAGAGATTTTAGAAATTTAGGGCCGAAGTGAAGTCCGGGGTGTCAAATTAGGAATTTGGCTTGGGATAACTAGTGGAGCCTAGGGGTGGCAATGGGGTGGGGGTGGGGCGGAGGATCCTTCCCCCGTCCCCCGTCCCCCGCCCCTTGCCCCCACCCCCCGCCCCGTTTCCCCCACAGTCCCCCGCGAGGAAAGACAAAATGAAGGGAAAAACAAAGCCATGGTTGTTGGAACTGCTTGTAAATGATATCATAGGACATGGAAAGAATTCTTGTTCCATTAGGCTCTCGTATTTACATTTTCATTAAGGCTTAGTTTGGGAGTTTATGAAGGAAGAGAAAAGAAAAGAAAAGAAAAGATAGCTTAGGAAAGAAAAGAAGAGAAGGGAAAAGATGCATATTTCGTTTGGGAGTTTAATGAAAGAAAAGAAAAGAAATATCTTTCTCTCATTTGAGAGTTGGAGAGATTTGGAAAGAAAGGATTTTATGAGAATACAACTTTACATATTTGCCCTTTCTATTTGCCCTTTCTATTTGTTAAACTCTAAATAACAAAAATATGAAATATAATATTTAAATATATTTTAATACACACAAGTTGGACGGGTAACTAGTGTGTCAGAGAGTTGCCATAATCTCCTTAAACCCGCATGCGGGTTTAAAGAGTATTCGGATATTCTCATATGCACCTATGCATATCGAACCAACCGGATATCTTATCCGTATCCCATTTTTTTAAATAAAAATCTTATAAATTTGAAAAATAAAATCAAATTTAGATGTATTAGGGTTTTAAAAATATTATATAAGTGATAAAAATTTTATAAATTGTAAAAATAAAATCAAACTGCTTGGATAATTAAATGTTATATTTGCATAAGAAATAATACAATAATCATAATAATGATAATACAATAATATTGGTGTAATAAAACTGCCATTAATTTAAATATTTACTTATAATGCCCAAAGAGCCTAATTACCAATTTTTTCTTCTCGCGCTCAAATATAACATTAACCCGCATGCGAGCTAACCTTGAAATAGAAAAAACACAGAATCCTGCTTGCGGGTTTCAACGTTATTATGCAGGCGGGATTTTAACCTGCTTGCTTGTAAACATGTTTGGATCTTGATATAACATGTTTGCTTGTAAACACAGAATCCTTCATGATGCTTGGATCTTTCTTCATGCTTTTCCAATTACACAAACTATATTTGTAGAAAAACACATAACAAGAACAGAATTTACATCAAAATAAAAGTTTTAGATTAATTCTATTATGAATACATGGTTTTATAGATCCAAAAACATACAGAATCTATTAGACAAAAGAAGATTCATGTGGCAACTTGTATTTATAAACTCATACTACTAATATAAGAGTACAAGTTAACAAAATAAGGATCACATTTCAACTTAAACAAAAGAAATTAGCATCAAGTCAAGTTGTCATAGTATGTAATCATTCCACATTTGCATTGCTATTTCATTCCTTAAACTTTCTCCTTGAGCATGATCTTTTTCAGCACTTATATCTCCACTTTCCTCCTCCGATGGAGATTGATTTGCCAATTCTTCATCCACTTCATTAATGTACTCCAAGTCAGGGTCAAACTCCATGAGAAAATTATGTAATATACAACAAGCAAGCACAATTTGTGATTGTGTTTCAACACTATAAGTTGGTTGAGTATCTCCAATGATTGGAAACCGTTTTTTCAAGACACCAAATGCTCTCTCAATTGCATTACGCAATGATGAATGTCGCAAATTGAATAGTTCTCGAAAGTTTTGCGGTTGTTGACTTGAGTATTCCTTCAGGTGATACCTTACATTTCTATAAGGTGTAAGAAGTCCCCTTCTCAACATGAATCCAGCATCAACAAGATAATATTTACCTATACAAATATCAAATAGTTACTACTTAATTAAATGCACTAAGAATAATTAACTAAGTATTACCATTAGGAATGATTAATTTATCTTCTCTAGTGAGCGCATTTTTTATGATCCTTGAATCCGATGCAGTTCCCTCCCAACCAGGTAGAACATATGTGAATCTCATATTCAAAGAACATGCAGCAAGCACATTTTGTGTTGGATGCTCTTTTCTACCACGATATTTTGCCGCATCAATATTAGGCACCTTAACGCGAACATGGGTTCCATCAATTGCACCCACACAATCCTGACAGTTATACACTATGTCAAAATATAATTTCTATATGAATTTACAATTTTTAAAACAAGGTGTCAAAAAGTTTATATCACCTTAAAATATGGATAAAATCTTGTACTATTAAGTATTTCCGGAGGAACTTGTTCTCCCGTAGGCTGCTGAAGAAATTGATCCTCCAATGTTATAACTGCTCGTAAAACTCTATGAAAATGACGACTAACAGTTTCTCCAGAACGCCGATAAAAGTATGACATTGTGATATTTTTTGAGGGAATTGTTAATATATGGAGAAATTTAACAACTTGCTCTTGCACCGTGGCTCTTTGAGTAGGTTGTAGACCACCATGTGTTTGCAACAAGTCACACAAGCGCCTAAAAGTTTCTGGTCCCATACGGATAACCTTACTCAAATATCCATTTGTACTGAGTTGCATCAATAATTCCTCTCGTACTAAATGACATTGTGCAGACCAATATCCAATGGGTCGATCCACATAATTTGCATGGCTTAGTTTTCGAGCAATTATCATGTTTACTACCTGACAAACAATTTCAGTAGCAACCAATTGTCGCTTCCTTTGTTGAATGTCATATTCTCCATCGACTTCATTTTGTTCCTTATCCATCTAAAACTGTTTGTATTAGAACACTAAATTTACGAATGAGTAAATAATTAAAAACAAATTTTATTTATTTACAAGGGTTATGGAGTCATTATCAAATACAATGTTAAAATTCTAAATATCAATATAAAAAGAAGTATTTTTCTAATAGTAATGTTTTTAAAGTGCTGACATAATTTACAGTAAATAAAAATAATCCAACATCCTAATAAATAAAGATTTTTTAAATGAAGATACGGAGATATAAATATCATTTTGTCTACCCAAACTTTACTGAAAAATTCTTCATGCTTTAAATTAAGTTGATCAAGCATTTGATTTTTTATGTCTTTATTTTGGTCTCAGCCAGGAACACCTCTATGAATATAAATAGTATTGCTATAGCCTAGGAGATTTACTGATATCAACTAACGTAACCAAATACGATTTATTCTATTGCCATATGGCCACCATCTTGTTAGACCTCATTTTGGTTTTGACGATCAGCCACCATTCAAAATAATACTTCTAGTATCATCATCTTGTTAATCATTTCAAAGAAAGATGCATTATTATAATAAAAAGAGGCTAACGTATTGTTTATGAACTCTAGATGGATTATTTTACAATTTGAATCTTACATAGGCAAATAAACAAACAGATTGTATGCATTCAAATTTCATATCCATTTATCACCACTAAAGCTGTCATGTACCATAACCATGCAAGATATAATCACAAATCAATAATATAAAATCAAGAGTTCATTAACAAGAATTTTATGACAGAAAACGAACAAAAAATTTAGAGTATAAACAATAAGAATCTACACAAAAAAAAATACTTTTTTCACAATGCTCTAGTGAAGACTAAGCAAAGAAAGAAAGAGAGATTGAGTTAAAGAAATACCTTTTGTTTGGTGAATTATGGGTGAAGAACCAATGAAAGCCAAGTTTTCTGATTTCGCAACTTGCTGGAAGTAGTGAAAGTATATGACACAGGACCACCGAGAAAGCTTCATAGTGCTTTTAGAAATCAGTTTTAGGATATATTGGGAATAATGAATTTTTGTATCAGCTTCTAAAGGACAAACTTGTCATATTAAAAATGTCTTTTGGCGCCCCATCATCTTTCCGTCCTTTTCTTCCCACTTTTGGGCGGAAAAATTTTCAACAATTGGAGGGAGATTTTATCCGTTCATTTCACTTCTTTTCTGTACTTGTTAAACTCCCAAAGGAAAGAAATGGTTGTCCTTTCTCTCTGAATACTTTCTTTTCTGTCCATTTCACCCTATCCAAATGAAGCCAGGCTTTTTCACAAACATCTTATATGCACAAGGAAAACAAATTAACCACATATCACTATCCAGAAAGAAAACAACTTTATCCCATATGATCACGCTACATGGTTTAAGCCCCATAAATTGTATTTAGGCTTGATTGTATTACAGCAGAATATCCAGAAAGTGTTTTTTGCTGCATCTGATAAGCTCCAGTGAAGCTAAAAAGACAACAACAAATATCAGTTCCTCCATGATGAAAGTTTTCCAACGTGGCCTCTTGAGTTAGAAGTAAATCTACTACTTGGGTTTTTTTTTATACTTTTTCAAGTTTTGAATAAAATGTTTTAAGAGGTGATCAATATTAGCATGTATTGTTAGCAGAGATTGACTGAATCTTGGTGAGTGGGAATCAAGTTTTCTCAGCTATGTTACATTTATGAAAATATGCTGATTCATGATTGTGCCAGCTGATGGATACAAATGCACAATTGTGGTATATCATCAGGGAATATATCGGCAACTCTGAGGTATCAGTTCATGAGGCTTTCTTTTGTCTTGTGTGGCTTTTGGCTTTTATTTTCACTTGGATAATCCAGCGTGCAATGTCATCCTTGCGAGATTAAGAAAAATTTGAATAGTAAATAGGATTCAGTCTATTTTAAACTAGTTTTAAAGTTTGCAACATTGCGCGATATTTTTTTCAATCATATTGTATGCATATTAATGGTACTTGCCTTTGCTAATGAAAATCTAGTGATTTAAATGTCAACAGATATTGAAGTTAATATGCGGTGCAAGTGCATATGATGTCGTTAGCTCAAACAGAATGCTCAAGTTTTGCTTTTATTATCCAAAGCAACACCTTGAAAGTGTGAAAAAGAAAAATATTGAATATGTATTTCTCTATGCAAGTCTTTTCAAAATTTACTATGCCTTGACTTTTTTAGAATTCAACAATTATACTGATAAATATTGTTCAAAGAAATTCTTGGCTCAATAAATTATTGGGCAGATCTGAAGACTAAAGAATCAGAGTGGATAAATGTTCTCCTTGGTTAATTGTTGTTCCCTCATTAATCGAGACTGAGCTTTTGTCTTTCCAATAAGACCAGAGATAGATGAATGGAGGTTAATAAGCCATATGGTTCAAATTCATGAACCAGGAAATCAGTGGGGATCATATACTTCAAAAATGGCATGGCTTTACAAGTCTTTCCTTTCCTTTCCCTCCTATTCCTTTAATGCACAAATTACCTTAAAATGAGTTCAATAGATTTATCAAGGCGCAGGCTTTAATTTTGACACCCTTCCCTGACCCCTGCAAACAACTATGCCAATCACCACACCCAATGAAGTGCGAATCCACAATAAACTGTAAACTTTATTATCTTCAACCATAGTTTTGTGCTTCCAGGGTGATCCTTTTAACATCCATGCAAGGACAAAAAGAGTGATTATCTTTTGCTGCTTGTGATATTGCAGTGAACCTTGCACCAATAAGAGAAAAATAAAAGGGAAACGAGAAGAAAGGGAACTAAAAACTATACACTGCTTTTGACAAAATTGCACTAGTTGTGTTATTGAGTCGTTAGTCTTACTTGTCATCTTTCAATAACATATCTCAGGTGTATTATATTTCTAATTGAAGATTTGAATCTTTTCTGAGCTTTGTTTTGGTTTAAGATATAAAACTGCACTGGAAATCTTTTAGGGCTAAGAAAATGCTGTTAGTGATTGAGCCTACAACTATGACCAACTAAAAGGTTTTAAATACTACTGACCAACTCTTAGCCTGTTACTTGTATTCTTCACCTTGGTGCAGGAGCGAGGTCTGGACTCAGCGGATCTTGTATCCTTTCTTCTGGAACTAAGCTTCCATTCTACTGGAAAGGTATTAAGTAAGAATGTTTGGTTTCATCAGTTCTATTGCTTGATCAGCTACTTCTTCAAAGGGGTTGGGAAACTATATTGGTTCCATCACTTTGTGTAAGCTGATTTTTGGCATGGACATGATTTTGGTCCCACTTTTTATCCCCTGAAATATTTTGTAACTTGTCAGTATACTTATCATGATTTGATTTGATTTAGTTCTGAATGTAGGCTTATAATATAAACACATTGAGTGGTATACAGAGGACTATAATTAGGGATCTTGCTGATTTGGGCCTTGTGAAGCTTCAGCAGGTAAATGTTAGTTGCGCTTATTGGGTGTTTCAAATGCTGGTCTTCTAGAATTTTTGCTCCACCTGCAGTTCTTATTGTGTTTTGGCTCTTTGTCAGGGAAGAAAGGAGAGTTGGTTTATCCCGACAAAGTTGGCTACAAATCTATCTATCAGCTTATCAGATACATCATCCAGGAAACAGGTACTTCCACCCTATCTGTGATATTCTAGAACTTTGTTTATTTACCATGCTGTCCAGCCGTTACTCCCAATTATCTGTGTTCTTAAAAAAAATTGTGCTTATCATTGATTGGACTGGACATTTCAAAGGAACTTCCTCTGAACGTGGATTTGGTTGTACATTTCTTCAGCTAACTTAATATATGTCATAGCTTCTCAGTTAACTTTGATGAAATAGCAGACAGATTTTTTGACTGATTATTATTCAACTTACTCCTATCAGGAATATGCTGTTGTAGAGACAAATTTCAGGATGTATGCATATTCATCTTCCAAATTGCACTGTGAAATCTTACGTCTATTCGCCAGGTATGAAGTTACCGTGCTTGCTTAAGTTTCTTGAAATCAATATCATTGAGGAAGAAAAGATAAAAGATATACTTGATATTCTTGATGAAAATAGAGTTTTTTTTTTAAACAGTTTTATGTGTATAGTTTATATCTTCTCATGAGAAATGCTTTTGTAAGTGAGCAACTATTCACAAGGATATTTTGCAGAGCAGTGTAGATAATTATGTTATGTTGTACCAAATTGAAACAAGTCTGTTGAGACCGGCTATATCTAGATACATACTCCAACAAGTTTAAGTTACATAGAAGTTTAGATCTTGACCAAATGAAGAGGTTGGAGTACAGTTTTTGGCCATCATTCATGGTTGCTCTGCTTACTATGTATGCAGAAAATGACTGAAACTACTTATAACCCTTAAATTTCCTAAGCTTGCTAGCCATCTGAAAAGTCTTTTACTGGATGAGGTCCTAGTCAGCTTCTGCAGACATTATTCTCATACATCTTTGAACCTTTCCTGCAACTTGTGACACTAGGATATCTTGGATGTGGTGACAGTCAGCTTCTATGGCAGAGATTCTCATCCATCTTTGAACCTTGTACATTTTGTCAAAGATCCTCCTGAAATTTGCCTCGTTAGTTTGGCTTTTAACACAACATTGATCTAAATGTTTATGCCAGGTTTAATTGTCCTGTCCTGTAAACTGATATCTCTTGACTGCATTTCCAGCAATTAGGCAAAGGTTTGTCTTATACAGCAGGGTAGGGCAGCAGGATTTTGGGAACCATAGTTGGTAGAAAAGGGTTAGAAGATATATATATATATATATATATATTGTTGCTCGAGTAAAATATAGAGAGAAGACTTCAAATTATGTACGCTTGAGTTAAAAGGTGCGCTTGTCTATAATGTGATAGTCATTAAGGATGCGAGTAGTCCAGAATTATTCCAGTTTTGGTTCTCATAGTTGAGTTAACAAAACAATTCTGATATTACATATTCAAGTTAAAAAGGTTAAATTTCCTAGCACCATCAGCATTTCACAATGTTGATCGTTGAATCTCAAAGTAATTGTGCCAAAGTTGCCCTTGAGCTTGTGTAAGGCTGCATGTCAAGCAGGACTACAAGAAAACTTCTTTTATACCATCTCGTTTTTGCAATCTTCTTCACAAGTTGATGCAAACCAGATTGATGTGGAGCAGACTTTGTAGAAGATCCATTAGCAGTTCTCTTGAGGCTTGAAGAAAGAATGGTGGAAAAGTTCTATGGGGTGAAAAATAAAACCGAAATTTTCTTTTGCAACTGATAGTGCAATCAAACATCAAAGCTTTCCTTTCTCTTGTTTTTTCGTATTGCCTATAGTCCTATAGTGTGACCTAACTATTTTTTCCCTAAATTATTTGAGCTCCACATTTGTATTGAGGAATTAGAGAACCATTCGTAGTTCCATATGGCCATTTACTCGTAAAAAATTGAGTTGTATTCTTGTTGTTGGTTTTTCCTTCGAGCAAATGAGAACTCATCTTTCTTTGTCTAGTTTGTTTTTGGCTAGTCTTTCTCATGTAGCTTTACAGCTTGCAGGACCTCAACGTAATCGTTGAAGGACTTTTTTATTTTTTTAGGGTGAGAGGAGAGAGAGAGAGAGAGAGATTTGGCTAACATAGGTCTTGCAACTTCTGCCTACTGTGTCCCCTATTTGATAGTTTGCTGAATGTAGTGATAGTTTATGGAGTTGAATGATAGTCTGACTATTTGACAAAAAAAAAATGAAGAAAAGAATGATAGCCTGTCTTACCATCTGGGATACAAAGCTAGATTGCATAAAGGGATTTATGATCATCTCCTGAAAAGGAAGAAACTGTTTACTGGGAAACGCACGTTACTGACTTCAAGTTCATATGCTTTAGTCCTTAAATCCTATTATATAATTATATTGCTTGTCTCTTTATAAACTGTCTGGTTGAAATTACAGGGTTGAATACCAACTTCCTAACTTGATTGTTGGAGCAATTACAAAAGAGAGTCTATATAAAGCTTTTCAAAACGGTATAACTGCCGAACAAGTAAGTATTTATTTGGTGTTTTACAAGGTTTAATGTTACTTGAAATTTTTTCCTTCCAATCTCAACTTCTGCAATTTATAAAATGGTATGTGGGATTTCGATGTTTTGATACAATGTGTGGATTTATATATATTTCCAGAGAGAAATGCATGGTAGAGAGTGGTTTTCTTCTTAGGTGTGATTAATGATTATTAAGAGGCGTTCATGCATACTCTAGTTGTGGTTAATTGGGCTTGGTCTTGTTCCCATAGTTTCTAACTGATTGTGCATGTTTAACTTAATAATCATATTTTAACTAACTTTGTTATGTATAAATTACACGAGCACAAAATTTTTTTTGTTGTCACAAGACATTTGTATCTGTTATGTGTGTTACATTATATGATAATAAATCAACAAAGTTACTTGAACCTTTAGTATCGAGTGGAACACAAGTTACAATAGTTGAACATTCTGGAAATTTGTTAGTTTAGTATTCTTTCCCTATGTGACTTGAAAGGATCCAATGCTTCATTTTCTGGATGTTGTCTGTGGTTGGCCCAAACAAGTTATCGCAAAAATGAAAAAGCAATCTCTCTTTCCAAAATATTTTGTAGTCTATTTCAACAAACACTTCAAAAATAATTGATCGGTCTATAGGATGAGTTTGGGCGGCATTTTATTATATTTCACTTCTATGTTAATAGTTTGTTATAAACAAATTATAAAAATAGGAGATCTTATACATGAAAGAGATCAAAGTTACTATTCTTTGGCAGAAGATCTCATGATTGGTCTCTAAATGTTTACTCAATATGTTTAGCGAGGGATGGAGTTTGTATAGGATTTAGTTAATTCTGTAGCTAGACAGTTAATTATGTAATATGTCCTTTTTTAATTATTTTTTTCAACATTAGCTGGTCAATTTACTAATTGACTATAATGTCATGCAGCATTATCTTTTGTCTCCGAAAATCATTCTCCCTTTTTGTTGCGGTATTGCAGATTATTTCTTTTCTTCAACAGAATGCACATCCTCGAGTTGCAGAGAGAATACCTACTGTGCCTGAGAATGTCACTGATCAGGTTCTTCTATCTTGTGGCATTTCAGTCTGATATGTTTTATATTTGTTGCTTCTTTTTCTGATGTTTCATGCTTCCTGGTTCCACTGAATGTAAATCCTACAGATAAGGTTGTGGGAATCAGATTTGAATAGGGTGGAGTGTATACCTGCACATTTCTTTGAAGAGTTCCCCTCTAGGGTAAGCATCAAAGCTGATTCTCACAACCAAGGTTCTTTCTTGTTGGTCTTGGATTTGACATTATTGTGACTTTGTGCATTTGTCTACCAGGAAGTGTTCGAGGCTGCATGCGATCATGCATGAGTGAAAGCAGAAAGTTTTGCCTACATGAAGGAGTTTCTTCGTGGAAAGAAGCAATAGTCTTTTGGCACTTTCCTTGAACTCTGTAATGTAGTTTGTTGGCCAAATGGTCCTCACAGTGCATGAAAAATCGAATTTAAAACAAATCATAATCAAAATTTTAGCTAACAGAGCAGTGTAATTGTGTTCTTTAAGAAAGGAAACATTTTGAATATCTACTAATTATTTTGTTAATTTTGGATCTTATTTACTTTTTATACTTGTTTTCTTGTATTGTCTTTGGTACGACAACTTTTTTTTTTATTTTCCCTTTTCGGTCCTTTCCTTATGAATTGGATTAAGCGATTATGGTTTCCCATGGTTATGTTTTTCACACACGCATGATCTTGATGAGCTAAGTGTCTATCCTGGTCTGGTCTAAAGGTTTCAGTTAAGAAACAATGAGTTGGAAGCATTTCCATTTTGCCTTTGCCTGTGTTTTTGTCAATCGGGTTAAAAGCAGTTTTCATTGTAGCAAATCCTTATCATCTCTACTTCTGGCTGCAGACTAAATGATAGCATGTGGGATGATGGAAATTCCTTGGGCCCTAAAGAGGTTCATAATTATTTAACCCGAGTGATGTACAATCGCCGCAATAAGTTTAATCCTTTGTGGAATTCTCTTATTCTTGGAGGACTAAAAATGGACAGAAGTACCTTGGAACGGGTAATCCCTAAATTGCATACATAAATTGTTTAGCAAATACCATTTATTCAGTAGATATCTTCTTGACATACGTGATGGTTCTTCAGGTTACTATGATTGGTGTACATTATGAGGATAATCATGTTGCAACTGGTTTTGGTAATCACCTTGCACGACCCATTCTCAGGGAGGAATGGAATGAAAACTTGACCTTTGAAGAAGGTGTCAAGCTATTGGAGAAGTGCATGCGCGTCCTCCTTTATCGTGATAGATCAGCTGTGAACAAACTCCAGGTATGGTTATTTTTGGGATAGTCTGCAATGATGATAGCTTCTTGATTGTGTGTTTTAACCCATATTATATGCTAGTGTTTCGTATTATTTCCTTTGATACAATTTTATTCTTTTTACTTGGTATATGTTTATATTCGGGCTGGTTTTTCTTCAAGCATCTTTGACAAAGGTTTTGTTTTTGGTAAAAAAAAAAGGGTAATGTCAAATATTGAGAAGCAGGAATCTTGTCTGTGAAAGAAGTCATCATAACCCAACTTGCTTATATGACGTTATATTTGAGATACCTTTCTGGTGCTTAATTTTCCAAATCCTGCTTTATGTTTCATGTATGAAACAAAAAGAAAATAAAATAGATCTTACTAACGGCAGTTGGGTATCATTCTCCAATTACTGCTCAAAGAATTATTTTCATGGTCAAGAACAGTTAAACATTGCTGGTTTTAACTTTTTTTTTATTATCTTGAATGAGACTTCAGAACATCTGTTTGAATTTGACGCGACCTTTTAATGCCATTTTATGCAGTAGACCATTCAACTCCGAAATATTACCATGCCCATGTTTTAATATTCATGTTTGATTCCATTTGAATGGATTTAAACCTTTTGTTTTCACTTATATTTATTTTGGTGCGTCAACACTTTGACTTGGGGAATTTGCAGATTGCAAAAATCACAGATGAAGGTTTCACAATTTCTCAGCCGTATTCATTGAAGACTCAGTGGAAGTTTAAAGCTTTCGAGAATCCAACAGTCGGTGCTGAGGGCTCATGGTAGTCAGCTCTCTTGGTGTGCAAAGGAAATCAGTGTGTTTGGAAATATGCACTTGAAACGCGACCTTTTAATGCCATGTTATGCAGTAGACTCGTGGGTTACAGCTCCCAAACACTGTTGTTCTTCTAGCGGACTTATTTGCTTGTGTTTGTCACATGATTTAGAGACATTGATAATGCTCTAGACGGTGATGACTTTGGATTGAGTTTGTACTTCAGTTTGTGAAAATTCATGACTGGGAATGGAACCAATCCTTATGCCTCTGCCAAGTCATGACAAACTTGTCACAATCTGCAATACATTCAAAATAAATTCCTAGAACCTTAATATGTTGCAGTCTAGGATAAACAGATTCCAAATGCCTCTTCTTTTATGTGCAGATTTTGTCCCACAACCTGCAAACCTTTCGTCCCTGGAGTGGCGGTTGCTGCCTGTAGTTCTTTACTACTTATTGGACTAGCAGTTGCTTTCATTACCCAAAAAAGGAAAGCAGCCATCTTTTTCGTTTGTGTTTTTTTCTTTGAGCGAGAAGAAAGTTGCCATCTACTATGTAGGAAGTCTTTAATTGTGGAAAATTGAGAAAGGTTTTCAAAATAATGATTGCGTTGACTGATGATAGTTGCAAGAATTTTAGAAGGAATATATGAACTTGAAAACTAAAAATAATTCTTTGGACGAACTACTTACAATTTGAAGCTTTTTTTTTTTCCACTCATGGAAAATTGGCCTTGTTTTCTTGTACAATTTACTCTGTCATTCAAGTCGTCGAATGCTTTTATAATAACCATGAATTATTGGACTGCTATTATTATTTTTTAATCTTGTTCAAGAATTCGCAATCACACTTGATGATCATATGAAGGAAATTTTAAAGTTTAAAAGAACCTGTTTAACTATTCACAATCTCACTTAACGATCATATGGAGGAAATTTTAAACTTTAAAAAATCATGTAAAAATTTGTGGTGATAGTGTACGGATTGAAAATTGTACAATTAAAAGATTTTGGAAAAATTTAAACAAAATCATCAAAATTAAATTATAGACTTACTAAAGGTGAAACAACTCAAGAAGAAAAATTAGGAGGAATTGACTTTAATAAAAAAATGTCCAAGAATGTATTAGTAAATAACCTTATAAAGTTTTATAAAAAAAAAAGTTTAATTATTTTAACTTTTCTAACAACTAATGTATATGAGATAAATTAGTTGAAGGATCTCGTCGAGAAAAATTTTATTATAAAATGTCCAAATAATGTCCGATATTTTTGTTAATGCTTAATAATTACTTGATAATTCAAGAAGTCGAGGACTGGGCAAATTCGCATAATCGATTCTGTATCCGTCTTTATATATATATATATATATATAATCTATCACTGTTAAACGTTAGAGACACATTCGCAAAAAACCCAATAGTGAATCCGCCACCACCCGCAGAGGAGATGATCATTGAGCAACCACAGGAGTATCACAAGAAATAGCTCAGTAAAGTTGCTCTTTCAATCCATTTTGTGTTCTCAAATTCATCTGTGATTATACCATGAATTTTTTATGACTTATTCTTGGTTTTTCTTCTTCGTTTCTCTGGTGCATTTGTGGGATCGGTTTTCATTGGGTACCAACTATTTGATAAAAGTCCCCAACTGAAATTCAGAGAGAGGGGATCATTTAAAAAAAATAAAATAAATTTTGTTATTGCTTATTTTAGGTGATTTCTAATGAGCCCCGGTTGGGTTGTGTAGGTTTGTGCGTGCTTGTTGTGAGAAAAAGACATAGCAGACCAGCTGCCAAGAAGAGCACAAACAACAGTTGTCTAAGACACTGTCTAAGATCATAAACAACAGTTGTCTGAAGTATTTTTTGAGCTCTCCAACCTCATTTGTTGAAAAAGAAGTAAGCAAGGAAACGATGCCGCAAGTGAAAATCGTCGCGAAGAATTTTATGGACATGGTGGCTTCATTGCCTGCAATGAAGCTTGACAAACTTTATCAGAATGCCTTTATTTGTCAAGCTATCCTTAGGTTAGAACTGTAAATCCTCTATCATAATGCCTTAGTTTCTGGGTAACATTTGGTGTGTTTTAAGATTCGTTAATGCACTGTTATTGGTTGTTATGCTTAGATCAATGCCGCCATTGGCAAAGAAGTATGTTCTACAATTGCTGTTCATAGATGCACCTGTGACTGGTAAAATGTTGGAAGAGTCTGTGCTCGCGGATGGGCTGTCAAAGCACAAAGTAGCTATTGATAGATTAATTCAGCTGAGAGTATTGACTGAAGCTCTTGACCGGTAAATTGGACCCCTTTAGACCTTTTTTGTTCCTAATTTTTATTTTATTTAATCTAAAGAGTGATATTGTTGGCAAAATTCTTGTTGATATTCTGAGGAAACAGTGAGTTTCAGCATGAAAGCTCTGTAGAGAGACAGTGCAAAGTTGTTCTTTAGTCTTTCCATACAGATAAATTTGATCGTGTTATCTATGTATAACTCATTCTAAATTAAGTTAGTTTGGGATAGAAATATTTTTTCCAATTTTCAATATATAAAGTTGAGAAATTTAGGATTCCTATGGAGAGAAACAAGGATTTTTATGGACATGAATGATTGTATAGTTTAGTTGGTATAGAAATGCTTTTCTAGCTTCCAAGATACAATAGTGAGAAAATTAGGATTGTTATGATGATAGCTGAAGATTTGTATGGACATGAATGATTGTCTTTTTCGTTTTGCAAATATTATTTTTTTTGTATGAATTAGCAAATAGTTGTCAGGGAAGACCGTGGTAAATACAGTCATATATTTAAGAGGAATTGTCTTCTTTTATCTTTTTCTGTTTACTTTCAAACTCAAAGTGCTAAGGCATCGTTTGACTTGGAAAGTTTGTTAATGAACCTTTTGTTTTAGAAACTAAATTATGAAGTTCCATAGATGCCATGTTAAAACTTATTTTACAGATACATGGTTAATTTCTAATGTGGTCCTCCCTTCTTCTTCTTAGTATGAGATTTTTGTTCTTCAGAAGTCAATTAATGATACAAATGGGTAATATAGAGCATCATGAAGAAGAAGTTACATGGCAGAGGCTACTGCATGACCTTCCTTAAACATGTATAAGCAATATTTTTTTTTTCAATCATATATAAGCAATATATGCATAGCTGCTTTTTGTGTATGCCATCCAGTTATTCATTTTGTTGTTTTGACCCCAAAATATGTCTCAAACTGTGAATATCTGACAACATCAAATTTTTATCAACGCTGTTTCTAAATTAGTCTTCTTAGGCCATTGGTTATTTCCTTTGATGGTTTGATTGCCTCTTGTTTATTCCCTTTCCACTGGACTTGGCTCACCTGCTAAAGAAAGCTATTCATCATATTTGCAGGAAAAAAGAAGCTACTTACAGAATGAACCCTACATTTCAGATAAATGTTCAAAAGCTTATTGTGCATGGGTAAGAATTAGATCTATCATGTGTGCTTTGTTGTTTTATTCACAATTGGGAGATGCTTTAATGGGTCTTTTCCCCCATTCATGTTGGAAGAGGTTGTTATATCTGCATAGACATACAAATAAACACACACACATGCACGCACATGTAAAGGTCTATGTATATGCATATGAATATTTATATATATGTATATAGGTCTATCCTCTTATTGTTCAGCCAGATATTTACACAAAGTAAGTTCCATCGCCATTAAGCCAAATACAACAGAAACAGACAAGAGAGCCTGTAAGGACCTATGAGAACAACTATACATCAGAAGAGCAACATGTCCACAATTACTAATATTCTTAACTGTCAAAAACAGAAAAGGGTATACTCAGCTCAGAACATAAAGAGTAGTTTCCTACAGTTTGTGGAATTCTCTGCTATCCAGCAACTATTATCGTAATTTCCTTCAATATCCTCTGGATGAGCATCTCTGGGGG